GCAAAGACCTGGACATTCACATTGCTTAACTGCAATATTTACACATTTTAGTTTCTTTAATAGCTCACTTTTACATGATTGTTTTTTCTCTTCCAGTTCATAATATTGGTTAATTAATAATTCCCTTTCATTATCATCTGCACAATTCACTAGCAGATTCCTTCATATTCTGTGTAATATAGTTCATATGATACATACTTATCCACTAATGATTCCAAATATAAGTCTAAATTAAACTTTTTCACAGTTTCTTCTGCCATCAATTCCAGGCATTTATTATAAGCTCTGGTCACATGACCTTATTTTGCATTTAATGTTGTCTTCATAGCCTTAATTTCCATGGATTTTTTCATGAGCTTTAATTGCATTAACTCATCCATGGCTCTTTTATATATTATATCCAATTAATGAACACTGGTTATACAAATGATACAATGAGACACGGGTACAATTATTACAATATGCACCAAATATCCTAGAAAAATATTTCCTGGCTTAGCAAATTAATTATAATTATTATTATTCATGTAAGCCAAATATCTCCTAGCTTAGAAAAATTTGTTATAATAATAATAACAATTATTATTATTATTATTATTATTATTATTATTATTATTATTATAATTATAATGAGAAAGAAGATACTTATCATTCCTCAGCTAGTTAACAATTATAGCAATTACCATCCTAGCCTCACTGGGCTTAGCACTTAATTTATATAGTTACACAAATCCATTAATATCACAAATGTATAAGAAATACAATTCCTGCAGACTCGGCATGCAAATTTCCAATTAATTGTGGCAACTAAAATCCATTACACAAACACAATTAAGTAATGACAATTATATGTGAACCCAGCAATCCATTACTTTCAATCAAATCATTAAATTAAATTAAAATTTCACTGATTACATATCCGAGTTCATTAGGACCAAAGGCTTATTTTGAAAATTATTATTATTATTATTATTATTATTATTATTATTATTATTTAAGTGAATTACCTTCATGAGGTTTACAGAGAATTACCTGAATTATTACGTACAAGTAATTTGGGTGAGGTAAGTGGGACTTCAATTACAACAGGTTGCTAAACTGTAACTCCTTCCATGCCCACTCCCTACCACTCTCACAAATAGCTAGACCTGACATTAAGTTAATAATTATAATATTAAAACCAGCTACTCTGGAAAATTGAAGTTGTGGACTGTATGTTATCTGGCTTGCTGGGTACACAAAATGTAATTGATATTACCACTTGCCATTTAATTACTGTACATGGATCACACCACAACACCTGCATAACACTTAAGCCCTAACTGGACCAGTTAGAGATCTAAATGCAAGGACTAATGGTGTACTTCCCTGTGAGCGATGTCTGCATTTATCTTCTGCCATTCACATGTATTTCTTGAGGTCCCACAAATTTCCTGTCCCAATTCTTCAGCAGGGGACATTAACACGAATTCATAATTGCAAATTCAGGCAGGAAAAAAACCCAATTGAAATTCGAGAACGCCCGATCACATTGCACAACTCGGTCCAGTGCTCACACATAAAATTCAATATGACGTCTCTCATCTGCATCACTCTCTGGCTCTTCCACACACCCCTTCACTAAAAATTTCTCAAAGGGTCCAAATAGCATCACATGTCAATATGCATTATTATATTGTTCATTTTGTTCTACATTTAGGAAATTATGTAAAAAAAATTCCACAATTTCATACTAAGGACAAATTATTACTCTTACCAATTTATTACAGTGGTAGTACATCCTAACACCTTCCGCGGGAAGATTAACTAGAAAATTCGCCATATTAAGTCACCTTACATGTAGTGTGGTTTGCAATACACGCTGAAAGGTGAACCTAAATTATTGAAGAGTGCATGTGGTAGTAAACAACATGGCGTCTAATTCACTGCTTCTGCATCACATTTTCTGTCGTCCATTCACTAGGTTCTTCCATTTTATTCTCTAGCTGGATATTTACAGATGTTTGTCTTCTTCACTTATATCATTGATTAACTGCTATTATTGTTAATGGACATTATAAAATTAGAGAAACATTCAAGAACCAGCTAGTTTGTCTTCCATCCTCCCCTGTTATTTGCATCCACTCTCCTATCCTGTATACATATATTTATTCAAATGTAGTGATAGAAGAATATCAATTCCTTCAATATTATAATAATTCCACTTTACTTAATTAACTTGTTACATTATGTAAGGAAATTATAAGGAATATGTTAAGTCCCTGTGACTTATCACTTTTTGAAAGTCACATTATAATTATAATAATAATAATAATAAGAATAATACTCTATTTCTGCAAGTTCATGATACAACTTATTCAGATCAAGTTGACATCAGTGACATAATACATATAAAGCCCCTGGTTATGCAGAGAATATTGGGCAAATTAAGTCAATTTAGTCCCCAGGATGTGATCCGCACTAGTCGAATAACGTTAACCCAGGTGCCTATTTAACTGTTAGTTGAGCAGGGACAGCAGGTGTCTTAAGGAAACACGTCCTAATGTTTCCACCTGTACTGGAGATCTATCCAAGGACCTCAGTGTGTGAGCTGAGTGAGCTAATAATTGAACTACAGGACACCTAAACGTGCGTTATTGTGCAGACATTATTTTCCCTACCAATTATTACTTTTATATGGAAGGAAAATAAGTATAACAGCGGGCCACAGAAAACACTAGGATGCCCATGGGGGATGAATTTCAGTTACCCCGCTTTGGAAAACTTGAAAAATAAGAGCTAGAACGAGGTATAAACACAACCGTATGTGAACTACTTAGAAGTGATAATATCAGAGGATTTCACCTTCAAAAATCACAACTGTCATTATCACAACAGCGAAGAAAATGGAGAATGAAAATCTTCAAAACAATGATGATGCGGTTTAAGACACTTGGTCTGTCTAGGCTGGAATAATGCTGTAGACTAACAGCCCCTTTTAAGGCAGGAGAAATTGCAATCTAGTTAATAGACAGAGACGTTTCACTGCATACGTATGTTCCATCAAGCATCTTAATTATTGTGAACATCTGACGTCTCATGACTTGTATTCCTTGGAACGCAGGCGAGAAAGATGCATCATAATTTACACCTGGAAATAAGGACTAGTGCCAAATCTGCGGATAGAAATCACTCCTAAGAGAGCAAAAGGATCGTAACACAATGCAATATACCTCTAGTGTAAGGAGTCCAAGACAATTCAATAGCCTCCCATCATTCAAGAAGACTGGATAGGTTCCTTATGTCAATTCCTAACCAGTCAGGCTGTGGTTTGAATGTTGGCCTGCATAGGGCCAGCAGTCAGTAACAGCTTGGCAAATTAGGCCCTGATCCACTGAGAGGCCTGGTCATGGACCGGGCCGTAGGGACGTTGACCTTCGGGACACTCTTCAGGGAGCAGGGCAGCTTGATGCTGTAGACTAACAGCGGCTATAAAGCGACTACGGTTAAACGTAACACAAGGCTCATTTTTACAAAACTGTAAGAAAACAAATCGAAAATACCCCGAAGACATGTATTCTGACGACGAAACATACACTGAGAGGAGTGCATCTTCTGCTGTATATACGCTAAAAGATACAAGTATACCACCAATCAAGTATCTTTGATTTGTGGTATACAGGTGATAATGAGCCAAAACAACCGTTTTGGGTAGTCGATGGATCGACAGGCTTCAAACTCAGTGCACCAATCAATGTATTCCGTATACTTTAGACGTTTAAGTAAGAATTTATATTAGTTCCTTCAGAGCAGAAGAAGTTGCCTAGCAGTAGTATAAACTTAATGTGAACTAATCAGTAATTATTAGTCTGTCAGGGAAACTCACCTGACATGAGTCTTAATTATGTGATCACCTGTTCAGTGTGCAAATAATAATAAGTTCACTTTTTTTCATATTTCGTGACATAAAAAAATCATCTAACATCGTTCATGTGAAAATTTCAAGTAACTGGTTTCATGACTGACTGCATTTAAGTCTAATCCTAGCTAGGATATGTATGTGCAGTTTTCCAGGAGGAGAAGTGTCACCTGTTGGTGATGGGAGAGGAGTTGGCAGTGTAAAGGCACTAACAGCTCTTTGTTATTTATTAGTCTAAAGATATTTTTCTCGGGACTTTAAAAAAATATAGGGTCAAGGTGTGTCATCTTTTGAAGGCTGTGTTTAAAAAAAATTCAAGAGCCTCTATGAAGCTGTAGAACTAATAGAAAGATTACTGACATACAAATATGTATATTCACACATTCACTTACGGTTATTTCACTAACAACTTTTTTTCTTGTTTCAGGTGGCGTGTGGTAGTGAGGATGAGGGCGAGAATCTGTGATTGTTGTGGCTGGGACACTATGGAAGAATCAGCCTCTCTCACCCACGAGTGTTCAGCCTCCCTTACCAAGGAATGGCGGGGTAGAGGCTAGTCTTGCACACTACATTCACTACCTTCTAAAAGTAGCATCTTCACTAATCTTTGGATACATGACTAATATGGCAATGTCTAGTTCTAACATGAATAAACGTATTAAAAATATTGGGAGAGCACTAAACTGAGCGTATAGAAAAATACTTATGTGCTACAGCATCAAAAAATACTTATGTGCTACGGCATCAGTATACAGCATAATATGACTTGGAGTGAGGTGATTGCCAGCACAACGTACTCTAAAATCTAGAGCAGAAAGTGCATACCTAAACCTCGCAGAATATTATTTTAGGTACATCCAAGGCCTGCAGGGCAACAATGGGTGACTTGAGAATAGAGGGCAGCAGTCTGGTTGTGAACGGCAGTGAGGGTCTAGCCAAGGACGGGGAGACCAGCGATACCCACGAGACTGACAGTGGCATCCACAGTGGTGACGACGTGGTGGATCGTGGTGGCAGCGAGGTCAGACACCCAACTCGCACCGCCCTTGTGACACACGGAGGCAGAGACTCGACCAGATACTCGTGTAGAGAGGAAACTATTATGGATGTTCTTGACGTAGATGAAGCTAAGGAAAACACAGGAACAGAAGGAATGGAAGGAAAAAGCTGGGAGGGTATCTCATTTTCCATCGTGGATGTAGATAATTTAGAGATAATGAACCTGGGAGAGGATGGTCCAGGACCTAGCAAACAGCGCACAAAGTTAGACGATAAAATCGTAAAATTACGCAACTTTGTTCCCGAGGAAACAGAAGATAAAACCCCGGACGACAGTTTGAATGAGAAGTTATCGGAAGAGGAAAAGCCATGGCAGCAGAAGGTGTCTTTAAGAGAAGATAGGCAAACTGAATCGTCTAATATCTCTTCAAGCTCATCTGAGAAGTCAGTTAAGACAAAAGAAAGTAGTTCTGTCGAAACTGATGGCATAAAGTTAGAGTTAGGGAGCATGGAGGCCGGAAAAGAGATAGAGGCAGCTTTTAGAAGCGGGCTTGAAGAAACCACAGTTCAGTTGAGCAAACCCGATATTTGCAAAGTACAGACACACCAGACTTCCCTGTTGACTCACCAACGGCAACAAGCAGATATACCATATCTAACCAAACTTTGAGCACAAATCCTGAAATACGAGTTCCAGAAGATACAAGTATTTCTGACCAGGCTGAGACATCCGATGCAGTTTCTCAGAGTTCCAGCGATAGTTCAAAGTCGCCTAGAAGCTGCTATGACTATCACCAGAATACACCATCAAAAAAGTTGGTTTCGAAGTCACTGAGCGATGGTAACATATTTTCAGATCCTTCACGAGTCCGCCTCTTTCAGCGATTAGAGTCCCGTGGGAACCGTAGAGGGGTTCCATTCACTCTGGACGTTCAAGAGGAACTTCCGGAAGATGAAGACGCTGGTGATAAGGACAATAGAGAATCCAAATTGCGTCTGAAGTTAGAACGCATGGAGTCCCGACCTCAGTCAAAGGACACACTGATGATACCAGGGGAGAGGCGAGCCAGTAGGAGTCTGGACACTCCCCGGCGAGGATTTCGTAGAGGGTCGCTGGGTATAGCAAAAGAGAACATTTCCATTTCCTCCGCATCCAGTCCTGAAGAAGACAAGAGTCGGAGAGACTCTCAAACACCAAGTGAGCAGTATCCAGCAAGACAGGTAAGCAAGCCTAAATTTTTGTACTAGAAAGCACTGTGTGTGTGTGTGTGTGTGTGTATGTGTGTGTGTGTGTGTGTGTGTGTGTGTGTGTGTGTGTGCGTGTGTGTGTGTGTGGTGTGTGCGCGCGCGTGCGTGTGTGTGTAGTCACCTATTCGTGGTTACAGGGGTCAATTCAATATTCCTGGCCTCACTTCTCCACTAGCTTATACTGGGTTTTTTCGTTCGTCATACTTATTCTTAAAACAGTGCATGGATTCCACCCTCATTATTTCGCTCCTGGTCGTTCTAAGGCTAAAGAAGTATTTCTCAACATCCTTGCTAATTATCTCTGTTCTTAATTACCAAATTTATTTTAGAATCTTCACACGCTTTATCAGATGTTACTTCCATACTGGTGCTGCATACTCCAAGCTGAGCAGAGACATATGCCGTATGTGTTATGAATAGCTCTTGTTGAGGTAGCAAAAGCCACCCTTAATTTGTCAATCTTGCTTTGCTGCTCAGGTTATTCGGTGGATGTGCCTCAGATATGAAATACTTAGAAATAGAGAGAGAGAGAGAGAGAGAGAGAGAGAGAGAGAGAGAGAGAGAGAAGGAGGGAGAGAATGAAAGACAGATGTTGGAAATATCGAGCCACCATTCTGTACATGTATTTAATTTCTAAGACTTAGCCTCGTAACTCCTTAGGCCACTTTACGCATTACCGTTATTACTTACACTACAGATATTTAGGCTAATTTAATGTTAGTCGTTTAGCTTAACGTAGTAATTACACTGCCCATACATTAAGAGGCTGCAGTCAGTCTCTTTCCCCGCCAAGAAGGGCCCATGGGAAACCTGAGCCGTGTCCGCAGCGGCAGTCACGCTGTGAACCACGAATGGACTCCCTCGTAAATATCGTGGATTACTGGTTATCTCTCTCTACATGGATATATATATATACCGCGAAAGTACACCACAGACGAGACTGTGACTCCCCACATAGGTATTTTTAGGTGCTCCCACAGCTACCATCTTGTGCGTAAATATCCCAAGTGAATTAAGTGCACATTTGTTCATTGGGGTTGTGTACAAGAGTGGGCTACCTCCTGCACCAGATACCTGGAGAAGCCATGGTCTGTCATATGCATACTGCGTCCTTTGCAGTAGTAGAGGAGAGTACCAGTTATTGGAGAAGCCAGAATGGGGTGGCAGGTTCTAGACTGAATTTCATGACTGAAATGGGACCAATAACCTATCCAGTCGTGAAATCCACGTACGCAGCCTCTATTCTAAACAACAGAGAGACAAACAGACTAAGCATTAGACCGGAAGATGTTGTTCCTGGATATTTCCTTATTTGTCATAATTGTGTTACCAGAACTACAATTATGGTACTGTGGGCAACTAGGGTATTTGAAGGTGGGAATATATAGATTATAAAACTGTAATTATATTTCTAAATTATAGTACAGTATTTAGCACATCTAGTGTTTGTTATGCCATTATTGCTGAGCTTATATCGGAAAAGGTCTTTTGCCTCATATTAGTTAGTTCGTTCTAGCCGGACGTTACTGCCCAGTTCAGAAGTTGAGTGAGAGAGCAACCCTCATGCTAATAGTTATATTTCATAATAGTTATAGTTCATATTTCTAAGTTAGGTTGCATTAGTATAGGTTATATTAGGTTGGCTTAGATTAGGTTAGAATAGGTTACAGTGGAAGTGCAGTAAACAGAAAAAGCATAGCCGCCTCGCGTGGCTCGGGAAACGATGTAGATTAGCAAAATTAAGCCCCAAAAATGGCGAACCTAGAAATTTTTATAGAGACGGATTCATTCCGAATAAAAAACTGAAAAGCATGAGTGTAATGTGTATACCATTGTCAGGCCGCGAGGTAAGTCAGTATGGCCGCTATTCCAATATGGCCGCCATGCGAAGACAGGTTACTTGTTTTACCTGTTTTTCAAATTAATATTAAACGTATGTGAATTTGGCTTATTATGAGTTTTTCTTTATGGATATTATCATTCCAACGAGAAATAAAAGATTGCTATAGGTCATTTTTTTTTATAATTTAATTAAGCACAGTTTTTTTTACGTTCGTTTGAAGAAGTTTATCATATGATAATGAACAACAAGGCACAATACCGTGACTGTAACAATACACAAATAACGTAATCGTAAGCTCCTCTCTCCTTCGTCGCTGTTTTTTGCGTATTATATTACAATGCTTATTTTTACTTCTAATAAATTAAATTGTGTTTTTTTTATTTAGCAATCAAAAAATATATATAAAGAATGTAAACTATCGGAGTTCCATATTACTATTGAACATTGTTCATAGAAAATGTAGGATTCGATCTGTGAATCTTAAAACAGCCTTCAGTAAACCAGACTCAGCAGCTGACAAGGTAAACAGTCGCCTCGGCTCTTAAGGGCAAGTGAAACATCTTTTGCATTTAAAAGTGATTTTTTTTTCTATGTTGTTGAGGTAACTTCCAATTACAGAGAAGAAAGAGAAACGCTTTGTTTTCAGTAAAAACATCTGACTTCCACTTATCGATATTAACAAAGTGTGATGAACGGGGAGATGAATAGGCAGGAAGACTGAAGCGACGCTTTCATTCACTTTCTTATAATAATAATAATAATAATAATAATAATAATAATAATGAAAACAACAACAACGACAACAGCAGCAATAATAATAATAATAATATTAATAATAATAATAATAATAATAATTTCTACAAGTACAATGTAGCTGACATCAATGACATGCTACTATGGTTATGCGACCCGCACCAGTCGACAAACACCCAGGTACTTATAAGTGAACAGGAATAGCAGGTGTCTTAAGGTAATACGTCCTAATGTTTCCATCCATACCAAGGATGGAACCACGGACTTCAGTGTGTGAGTGAGCTAGCAATCGAGCTATGGACACCTGTATGCTGCAGCTAGGGAGCATTGAAAGTTTGGTCAAAGCTGCACTCTTCGAGCATTGTTCCTTATATACATCTTAGACTCAGTGCCGAATGTGAAGTTGATTGGTTGAGGGTTTAGCCTACAGCATTTGCGATTTAAATTTTTTAAAATGTCTGTATTACTGAGTAGTGCAGTGCAGTGTTTTATGAACTGTATCTGCGTACTCTGCAGTATTTATAAATATTAACTAACTTTCTCGGTGATTATGCTGGAGCTGGCATTGCTAACACCACCCTAATGGATTATGGCATTATCACCAAGGATGACAAAAGTCAAGTTATTGGATCACGGAAGTTACGAGATGCCAGACACAAATGCCGAACAGAGAGGCAAGAAAAGGAACTAGAAAATTTGGAAAATATCACATCACTGTATTTTGATGGCAACAAGACCTCCACTAGTGTAATGACAAAGAATGAGAAGACCAAGAAATGGAGTCCGAAGTTAGTGGTGAAAGATCATTACGTCATCACGGTGGAGCCCGGCACTGAATATCTCACTCATGTGACTCTCAAGTGAGGCCATGGAAAGGAGATTGCCAAGACTATCTATACATTTCTGATGGAACAGAAACTAACTAGTCAGCCTGATGTATTTTTAGTGAAGGAACCAATGTAAATGTCGAAGCTGACAATGGAACTATTTATTAACTTGAAATGTTGCTTGATCACCCAGTCCATTATTTCATCTGTCAGCTTCATGGAAATGAGCTGCCATTTCGGGCTGTTTTCTACCACTATGACAGTAAGCCAAGTGGTCCTGAGTATTGGAAAGGTCCCATTGACAAGCAAATCAAGGATTGTCTGTCTGAGCTGCCAGTTGTTACTTTTCAGCCAGTCAATTTCACTGATTTCCCTGCTCTGAATGGCAAGGTGGCAGAGGATCTGTCCTTGGACCAGAAATATTTGTATAAGATTTGCAAAGAAGTGATCACAGGTGTGGTTGATGATGACTTGGCTGCTTTTGAACCAAGTCCACCGTGTGTGCCACGGTGGAATACTTCATGGAGTGCGATCCTTATGCTGTATGTGGCAACATCATGACCCAGTCAGGAGTTAAAAAGAGACGTTATCATGATTTTAAAGTTCAGTGCTCTAATGTGGTTCCACATCAAGCTGTGCACGTCTTCCATTCACTGCAGTTTATGAGACATCTGAGCAGTGAAGAAAAGAATATAGTAAAGAAGAATGTCTAAAGAAATTCCTACTTTGCTCACACAGATCAGTTGCAATGTGAACAGATTGACTGATGTTGTAGTGGCCAGGCTTAGGCTTAGTTACAAGTACTTCCGACAGTTTGCGAGACACACAGATGATGGTCAAACTAAATGCAAATTATGTGATCAGCCATATGGTCACTGTCGTGGACACTATGTGCTTAATTGTCCACTTATTCAGAAATACAGAGACAGACAGTATAATAACCTATGTGACATGTCAAAATATTTTATTAATGAAAATAAGATACCAGATATACTAAGCAAATTTCCTAAATTTGCTTGTAACAGATAAGTGAACTGTAGATATGTAGATATACACCTGTTACCCCCTTTTGGGGCCTAGTTCCTAGGCTTTTGTGCATCCATATGCTCTTGCACTACCGTCCACAGGATGGATATGGGGTGCACAATAAACTAGCCACTTTGGTGGCAAAATCTAATCTAGATCAGCTGCTTCTTGGTATGTGCGCTGATGAAGACATGACTGTGAGAGACAAAGCTGCCTCAATGAAAAGAAAAAATAGAGAAGAGAATCATCAGACAGAAGAAAATAATGAGAGCTCTGATGAGGATGGAGAAGATTCTGCAGATGCTGTTGACGAGGACTTGTTAATCTTCACTGATGATGTGGATGACAGTGAAGAATGACAATGTGGCTCCTATTGTCAACTCAAGAAAAGTAGTAATTCCTAAACTAAAGCAGCAAGCAAAGAACATCTTATATTTGAACTATCATTGCCATTCTCTATCAACAGGTTCTGAAAATTGTGATAAATGGTTTAAAACCGTCAAGTCGGTTTTAAACCATTTATC